ATTCTACTTCTGGGTATTTATTCAAAGAAAGTGAGAACACCAACTTGAAAAGATAATATGCACCCCCATGTTCTTTGCAGCAGTACTTGCAATAGCCAAGATATGGAAACTACCTGTGTTCATTGATGGATGAATAAATAAAGTAACAGTGGTATATATATACAATGGAATATTATTCAGCCATAAAAAAGAAGGAAATCTTGCCATCTGTGACAACATGGATGGACCTCATGGGTATTATGCTAGGTGAAATAAGTAAGACAGAGAAAGACAAATACCCTGTGATCTCTTATATGTGGAAATCTAAAAAAAGAGAAATAAATTAAAAGAAAACAAGCTCATAAATATAGAGAATATATTGGTGATCGCCAGAGGTGGCAGGTGGAGGGTGAGAGAAATGGGTGAATTGTTTTTTAGTTTAAATAAATTGAAAAAAAAAGGAACTTATGTTATTACTTCCAAATTGTTATTTCATACATATATTTAGTTATTTCATGTTTAAATGTATATAGCAATAAATTATCTAATTCAACTTAGTCTTATGACATCAAAACTTATGACATATAAATACAACATGTTAGATAACTCAATCACTCAAATCACTTTATAAGTGAGAAAATTTTTCTTTAATAAGACTGGTACTTGCACTGTCTTTTTTTCACTGAATATCAAATTACTTAGTAATAGATCACTTTTAAATACCATTTGGCCAATTTAATATTACATTAGTATATAATTATAGTGTTTGGCAAATGCAACATAACCTTATACTTAGGTGATCAACTCAGGTGATCAAAAAGACTATCTGTATGGCTCTTTAAGTATAATGACTTTTCCCCAGCCAGCAGAAAAAAGAGTTGATGCAGGAATCAATTGTCCATTATAAGTTAATTTAGTAAATCCTAAAAAAGAAATGAGGCCTAAACCAGTCAATTATTTGTCTTTGGTATTTTTATGTATTATTAGATAAAAGATCTCTATATAAAAATAATGTAACATTATGTACATATATTACGGTTTATAGGTACTAGAGAGTAATTCTCTAATTAAAATTCATTTCTATTGGATACAGTCTGAACCAAGAGGTTTCATTTTTAATATTAAATAGGGCAGGAATTCCTCAAGTAACCACTTGAAGAATAGGATCAAATGACTTTGGGAAAGTACAGTTTTATTTTTAGTATTTTAATTGTTTAGTGAATTTAGTGTATTTGAGCAACTTTTCTGCTTTTCAGTAGTTTGCTTTGAATACTTTTGGTGGAGGGAGGTGGTTGGACATGACAAGGCATGTATATTTACATTTTTTGTTTGGTCTCGTAAGAGTTATATTCTTTGATGTTCCAGTTTTTTTTTTTTTTTAAGATTCTCATTATAACTTTATATGAGCTTTATTGCAGCTTTTTAAAACACATTTGGAAATTTCAGAAAATATAGAATAGCCTGGAAAGGCTGGGAAAATACTGGAGTCTACTGATCCACTTGGCATTCTGGCTAGGTAGTTCCTGAGGGGAAAAAAAAGAAAACAGTTACCAAACATTAAGGCCCACTAAAGCAGCAGGGGTGCACAATTCTGGGCAACTTTCCAGTATGGAAAGGATTGCCTGGGTTGTCTTTTCAGTCACATTCAGAATCACAAATACCATCTTTACATGTGAACAATGACAGCAACAAAACATTCTATTGTGGCTTGAAGGATTGAGAAAGGCTCATAAAGGAAAAAATTTGGGGGTGGGTCCATGAGCAATGAGTTAAATTGCCTTAGAAGGGTATAATACAGACATTGGGAATACCAGGAATGGAGTATTTTCACCAAAAGAAGGCTATTTTTTACCCAATTTCGTATCTAAGAATTATATGTATTTTAGAAAAAAATAATGTACTGAGAATGTACATTTTGTGGTTAGAACCAATGGTTCTCAAATTTTAGCATTTATCGAAATCGCCTGGAGGATTTGTTAAATTGGGGTAGGACACCATGAATTTGCACCTGTAGTAAGTTCCCTTATGATTTTATGCCTCTGATCACAGACCACATTTTGAGAACCACTGGTTTAAACAGTGTTTTTCATTTTTCTCTAGAGAATAGCTACTTTAATGCTGTCATAGAGCTCTTGATGCTTAATTTTGACTATAATGTTGCTTAATATGTGAAGTAATCATAAGTGGAATTCCATAAAAGTGGAATACAATTCCAGGGAGAGATCTTGTAATTAAAAAAAAGTGCTAATGGCTATAGACAAAGGTTGGAAGTTAGGAGATTCCATCTATCAGCTCAAAGACTATGTATTTCCTCAATTTGTAAACTACATAGATATTACTTCTCTGGAATGTAGGGTCTTAAGCTTCCTCCTTCATTTTCAAATTCCAGTTCTACTTTAGAAAACATTATCCTATTCCTAACAAACTACATTTATGTTTCTTAAAATCAGTAAGGAAGTGTTAATACGTTTTGTTTTTCAAACAGAGAAAAAGAAGCACCATGAAACTCAACCTCTTTAGAGAGCAAATATTTGTTTTTATTGTTTTTTTTTTGGCGGGGGGAGGCAGGAGGTGATGCATTTGTAACTCTACTGAAAATAGTACAAGGAAATAAAATTGTAGAACAAAACAGTTCCATATTTAGTAGAATTTAGTTCTGGGTTTTCCCCAGACACTGCAGGTCAAATGAAACATATAAGCAAATTTTTTCAGGCCTCACAGGACAGACTTGGCACTATAAACCAAAACCAAGGCCTATTATGCAACACAGGTGTTTGCAAATAACTAGATGATTTGTTAATCTGGGCAACAAGGGAGACCTCAAATTCTGAAACTTTGCCATGCCTGTGGGAAATGTAAACTCCTAGGATGGTGACAGTAGTTTGTATGCTGAGTTAGATTTAATTTAATAAGCATTTGTTGAATGTCTTATGCATTCAAGTAACAGAACATTTCTGACAATATAAGGTTCCTGCCTACCCAGTACTCGGTATTCACAAGTATTCACTTTGGGTATTTTCTGCTTCACATTAAAATTGAAACAACCTGGTTTGGAGAATTAAGTTATAGCAAGTGTTACTTTTCTGTTGCAAGACCAGACTTGAAAATTTAAATTACCCATTCAACAAATGCAGAGTACCAACATTGAAGCGGATTTTGTACTAGGCACTGGAAAGCAATAGTGAACACAGTGGGCATATGCCCAGACTTTATGGATTATAAATTAGTAGGAAGACACACATTCACCAGAAGTAAATTATATATGACACATGCTAAAGAGAGGCATAATCAGAAATGGTCCGAATGGTGGAGATGGGGGGGGACCATGAGACGTGTGCACCACAAAAAGATGTATGGATGGCTTATTTGCTGTTCAACTACTCACCCACAAGAATAGCACTTAGTCCTGTTTATTGACAAAGTACTTACTAGTAGTCTTATTAAAAATAACCTGTGGTCAACTTTAATAGAGTGAAGAAGAGAAAAAAGGTCTACAACTCCTGAAAAATTCCTACAGCAGAATGGAGAAAACAAATACCTATGTGGAGGAGAAAAAACGGGAAAGGCGGTAGCAGTTGTTTAAAGATTTTAACTGTTTTCCTAACTTAATCATTCCTACTTAATTTGCTTATGGTAAGATATTTTCATGTGCTAAAATTTCTGCTTGGAATAGCAGAATGCTAATCCTGTAAAACAGTTATATGATCCCACCACAGTTAGAGAAGTGCCCTGGAACCAGGCCAAGCGCAAAAAAATCTGTGGCCAAGGGCTCTCATCCAGAAGGCAAGCGAATAGAGATTTTGCAGTTAGGAGCAAAATGTCCACCGTATTTGCATTCTTATTAAATAAAACAAAGTTCATTAAAATAACACAAGGTTGCTGGATTGCTGGCAGACCACCTTAGCAGCAACTTTCCTCGTTTGCAAAATTCCTACTTCGCGATTTCAGCTTTGACCTTAACTGCATGTTCTTTTATGAATATATTATTTAACCACTTTTGCACACAATCAGCTATGGTGGGAAATAGTAACCTGGGCATCAAAGATGTTTTAATTCTAATTTACCATAGGTTACCTTTAAAGGTAGGTACCCTACAACCACTAACACGTCTGAAAATCAAAACCGAAAAGAATTTCAATGCAAACCTACTAGTGGGCTGGAGTGGCACACACACTGGAGGATTTGAGTAAGAAAGTAGAACACTGGCACAAAAATTATCGTACTTACGAGAAGATATACTGCATTTTAGGCATGCTAAAACCCCACTGAAAAGTGTGACTAGCTTGTTTACTGCCTAGGTTCGTGGGGCAACATTTTCTCAGCTCTTCAGACCCTGGTCTCCCTTCCCTTTCTCAATTTGCCAATCCCCCTCTCAAAACCCTTTCTCTCTGGTAATGGGCTATGGGATGTTTAGGCAAGACACGAGAAACTTGATTGGCACACATCTTCACCGGTTCTAGGTACTCAATTCGTTGAGTATTGAACACGTTAGTTACGGTAACAGGTATCAACTCCCGAGCCAGGCCGAGAACGCAGGGAAATGCGAAGGCCCAGACGGCGGAAGCGTTAACACCGGGAGATGGGGAAACTTCTAGATGCTAAGCGGACACTTTACAGTGGCACAATCTTGTGAAAAACGGTTGTTGGCTCTTCAGATAAATCGGTGAGCACTTTCCACAAAAGTCTCTGTATAGTTACCCCGCGGGGAAGCACCCTCGAAGATGCTCCGACACCTAGACGGCCCGTACCAAATCACCGCGGAACAGAACGGCCTCCTCGGGGTGAAGCCTCCACCCTCAAATCTAGCTCCACCACGGGTGACCGCCTCTCGGCAGCTACTCCGTCCCTGAGCGTCCTACAGCGGGGAAGGGGGCAGGGAGGTTGAGGCCCTGTTCTCGCGGGATCTCTCCCACCAGGGTCCGTCCCCAGGTATCCTCAAGACCTCGCGTTGTTTGGGCGTGGGGGCGGAGCGATCCCTGTGTGGGGCGGAGCCGGATGGGGGCGTCCCCCAAGTCTTGTTGACTCCGGCGTCCTCCCAGAGCGGTCCTTGCGCCCGCTGCCCTCTGCGCATGCTCAGGTTCCCGACGACTCCCGAGGCAGCGACTGTCGGGCTTTCCCAGCCGTGGGTCCGGGCCCCGCCCTCCTCCAGGCTGCGGCGGCGGCGGTGCTGGCGGCCGTGTTGTTCTGGCGGTGGGGGCGGAGGGCTGCCGTGGAGCCCTCCGAGTCCTAGTGCCGGACCCTGCGCGTCGCTGCGGCGGGCCAGACGGACAGCCTCGCCGCAGGTAACGCCGCTGCCTGTGGACTCGGGGTCGTGCGGGTTGGCGTGTCTCGCGTGCTGGGGTCAGGCTGGGGGGTCGGGGAGGTCTGGAGCTGGGGAGTCGAGAGACGCTGGGGGTTTTGAAGAGGGCCGGGAGGTTGGGGACCGGGGTCCTAAGGGTCGTAGGGGCTGGGAGTAGAGGGTGGTCCAGGGAGTCTGGAGGGGTCGAAGGTATGGGAGGTCGGGGCGGACGGTCCTTGGTCTCTGACTTGGGTTCGGGGACCAGGACTCCCCGACGCTGCGGTCGGAAGACACCCTCGGGCCCCTTAGGGCCTTTTCAGTTCCACCCCGTGACTTTCTGTTGTTGTTTTGATTTTGAAGGAAGAGAATCCAGCCTACGTAGGCTCGGGGAAGCCTTGGGGGTTGAGGCTGGGAAGGGATTTACGAGGCTAGAGCAGGCGCTAACATTTTCTTACTTTCTGTTTTTTGTTTGAGCGTTTACTACTGTTTAAGTGTGGTACCCGTCCTTAGGGTATTTCAAGTAGAGAGGACCCACGAGTAGAACCAGCGGGAGTAATTTTGCAAATCCAAGATTTTTCTTTTTTAACTTCCAGTACGGTGTTTCTGTATGTCTTTTTTTTTTTTAAAACTGGGAAACTATGTTTTTTAAAAATTACACAGTAGAAGAATTTGGATACGGAGGAGAAAGTATAGTTCTACCAATGGTTATTTTCTCCCAGTTATTTTTTTAATTACAAAAGTACTACGTGCTCTTTAAGAAAAAAATTAAGCAGCTAAACAATGAAGACGTCTTCTCCCTACCCCCCGCCCCCCATTTTTCCTCTCTTACTACCCAGGGTAACTAGTCTACAAGTGTGGTATTTAGCCATTCACGATTTTTCTATTCGTGTAAGTATGTTTTAAAAACAAAACTGGGATCATGTATATACTTTTTATTGGCCAAGGATATTCACAGATATTCATCCATTTTATTACATTCTTTTTAAAAGCTACACAAACTGTTTTTTTATTGCTGAACATTGTCTCTAGTTTTTCTATAATCTTTTATTAAGTAGCTTTTAAAAAGGGCTACAAGCTATTATTTTGAAACATAATTTGGCAAAACTTTCAGATTGTCTAAGGCCAGATGGGGATACTTAGGTATTAGGCAAGTTTAGTAATACGTTTACACAGAGCTTATGGTAGCTTACAGGAGGCTTGGATGACTTCATAAAGCAGCTTACTAAAATAGTTTATTTTTTGTTTTTTGGTAAGTGCATTTTTCAACTTAAATTTAAGTTCTGTATGGTCATTTGAAAACAAATTCAATTCCTTGACATGAACCTGCTCATGTCTGAAGATAAGGTAAAAGGTAGAAAGCCAGTGGCCTAAACCAAACCTCAGAACAGCCAGGAACTAAATATTTTGATAGTAGACCATAGGGAGTAAGCTGTAAGTAAAAGGATGATATTACACTGCTTACTATTAAGTAAGACAGAAAGCTAGGAAATCCCTATTATATTTTGTATGTTTGTGTGCAGAATAGCTGGAGGCTTTGTTGATCTGATCAGTGTCATGTATTTATTAAAAATGTATTGTGTGTTCATCTTCTTGCTAGCTTCCAGGGAAAATGTAGAACTGAGTAAGATAATCACAAAGAGGTTTGGTTCTAAGAATATATATATATATATATATATATATATATATATATACACACACACAGCCTGAAATCTTAGGTCCAATTGTGTAATTATTCGGGGAGCCATGTTTAAAAGTAACCACAGTATCTACGGCATTTTAGTTATAGTTGCTGGTAGTAATATGCTTTTTCTTATTTATCTCTAACAACATAGGTGGCATTCTCCCCAATCTAAAGATTAATAAACAGAGGCTCTGAAAGATTAATTCAGCTGCTCAAGATCTCATCACCTTTTTAGTGGTGGTGACTGCATTAGACTCAGGCTTAAGCCAAGAACCTGGGTTTTCTGCTTTGCCATGCTGCCTTTCATTAATGAAAACTACCTTATAAAATTGTTGATCTTAGAGTTTTTTTCCCTCTTTTTTGGCTTGGAGATGTTCCTTACAAAATAGAGACCAGAATATAATCATGCACTGAAAAATAGTAAATAGTATGAAACTGTATTGTTTTAGATGAGGTTTCTGTGCTGTATTACTAAAATATTCCTTGAGCCGGTGCCATTAACCAAGAAGAAGGGGGATTGTGTTAGTCACTCTATTTGATGCCATGGTAAATTTGGATATTATAGTAAACTGTAGCTCTTACAGGCACTTGTATTCCTTACAAACTTGGATGGATAATCTCATTTCATTTAACATTTTCATGAACCCAGTTGCACTCTAGTAAACTAATGTAATAAAAAGAATACAAAGAGGGCCCTAAAAAGATTAAAGTGTGCTTGTTTCATTTTTAGTATTTTGTAGTCTCTTAAAAATACATAATGACAATTTAATAAAGTATAGTTCCTAATATGGTATATTAATCTGTTTTGGGTTCCCAGCATATGTGACAACTGTGTATTTTAAAGAAATAGGGCAAATGCTGAAGTTAACAAAGTATGATCAGTTGTAATATGTATTTGAGAAGAAATCTACATATAGGAAAATATTTGAGCTTTTATTTCTTGGCAATTGTTAAGGATAGTAATTGGATTCATATCTAAATGGCGTATCTGCTCTCGATTATCTCTTGCACAACTTAACATTGAATGTGGGTGGGTTTTATAGTAGTGGGATACAAAAATGTTTCAGCACCAGAAAGAAGTCTTTAGAGTATGTTGAGATCTATTGACTTTTCAGCTGTTGAAGGGTGGGGAATCCAACACTGCGTGTGTGTATTTTCAAAAATTAATAAGAGATCTTATTGCTGATGGATAGAAATAGAAAGTTTATTTTGCAGTTTAGCCTGAAAGTCTCTTTTGGGGGCCTATATTCAGATGTAGCCAAAAATGAAGAAACTATGTAGGTCCTATTAATGATAACAAAAGAAGCATTAGGTAGGATCTAGAGTTTAAAATCTAGTTAGGTTTTACAAACTAGCTGTTTAAAACAATTATTGTGGAATTGCAGAGAGGACTGTTGTTCCCTGAGGGTTCTGTTTCTAGGGAGAAACTAGTTAAGATGAAAGGAAAGCCAAAATAGAAGGGAGAAAACCTGAGAATTGGCTGTCTTAAGTGTGGAGGGGGTTCCCTCAAATAATGGATAATCAGTAGTCAAATGTGTGGATGGATGTCAAGGAAGATGAGGACTTAATACACTTTGAACTTTGAGACACTGGAAAAATATCTAATTGTAATTATACTGTGTTAGTTGTGTCCTTCTTGGGGTTGAGTCGGAATAATTAACACTTTTCAGTAACTTGCAGGCTCTTAAAAACCTACAATAATCACATCATCCTAAGTCTGTTTATAATCTGAGTTATGAGCATCTGAAGAGCCATGGAATATAAAGTTCTAGCAAGGCCTTGTCTTCTCTAACTTGCACAAGCCAGAACCTCAGACTTCTACCTTGTGGCTTTGTTCATTTTCTCATCTCACTTATATACAACTGTTAATTTAGATTGAGTTCACACTTCTTTTTAAGAGTTTTATTTTCTCCTTTCCAGTCCTACGCACTCCCATAGTTTCCGCTGTTCATTCCCTCCCCTGCTGAAGGTCCAGTTCTGCATCACCAGCCTTATTGTCTTTCCTGAGCTTCAGACTTGCCTTTTGTTGTTCTCCTTGATAAACTCTGTAAGTAACTGTCATTTTGTAATCTTGAATTAAACTGTTTCCTCCACAATTTAATTCTTCCCTCATTTTCCTGTTTATATTAATGATCTTAACACTTTCTTAGTCATCTAGGCTTAAAATCAAAGGTCACCTTTGATTCATCACTCTCCCCCTTCTCAGAAATTCTTTGTCATTTTATTGCATTATGGTTCAGGAATCAGGTTCTCCTGCTGCTTTTTCATTTTCTCAGCAACAAAATACTTTTAATTCCTTTGCGTCAACTGCCATTAATAAGACATTCCTAATCTCTGGGTTTTGCTATTCATCATGCATACTGCTATCAAATTAATTGTCCTAAAGACAGTCTTGATCATATTTTCCCTGCCTGACAGAAGCAAACAGAACAAAAAACCGCTTATTGAATGTTTCTTATGTCAGCCTTTGTGCTGAATGCTTTGTTCTCGTTTGGTCCTCAAAATAGTTTTATATTGTAGACACTATTTTCCCACTCTACGGATGAAAAAATTGAGACTTCATGAGCCCAGAGGGTTTCTAGTAGGTAGAAGAGCTGGAATTTGAATCTCAAGCACGTCTTCCAAGTCTGTGTTCTTGACCACCATGCCTCCTCTGAATGGCTCCTGATCAACTCTAGCATGAAGTCCTTTTCGTCAGTGTTGCCTTTCAAAACTCCATTATTTAGCCTCAGTGCTCTTTTTCAAATTTAATTCTTGTTTTATTCAAACTTGTGTTTACATTCTTTCTGGAACAGAAGGAATGTAAACTCTTGGTTTCTTATGCATCTCCACTTGGAATTTTCTCCCTTTCCTATCTCTGCCTTCTGAAGTCCTTCAAATAAAAGGCTTGCTTATACACAGTATTTCCCTAGAGCCCCTTCTTTTCCGTTTTCATAGTGGTAAGATCTACTCTTATTTGTGCAGTTGCTTAACCTCTTGATAACTTTCTATTCTGAAATTGTTTTTGAGTGCTCTAACAGTAATTGAATTATAAAATGCCTGAAAGCAGAAACCACGTCTTATTGTTGTATTTCCCAAAGGATGCTCAGGAAATATATGTGAATGAATATGAAAATGATCACTAGTCAAGTGCTCCTTTAATGGCATCTAAGTAGTATTTGATTTTAGATGCTAGATGAGACATACAGTTCACTGAAGTTTTTAATTGTGTGTACATGTAACAAAACCAGATTGTCTTGTTGTAGGCTATCACATGAGTTCTTTATTTTCAGATTGATTACTAGGTAATTATGATAAGTTGTTTATTTTAAGAAATTATGTTT